AGTGAAATGTACCTATAGTTAATTTATCTAAATATCTAAATTTCAGTTTCGGTCGATTAAGTTAATTATTACATTTATGGGGAAGTTTTTACAACTTGCTTTAAGGCAAAATGCCACTTTCAACAAGTTATTTATATATTTCATAGTTACCAGTGGTGTTGTGCTAATATTTTTTTTGCCGGAACGCTAAAATTTAAAATCCGGTTCATAAACCGGTTCAAAAAATTTGATATATTTCGATAAGAACTCACAAATCTAATATATTGACTTTTTATATAATTAACTCTATTATACACAGCTAGTCTATACATTAAATTGTACAAGTATGAGGGAATCATTGAGTACATAATTTATATTCTTCAATGACATTAATCATATTTATTCTGGTATTATTTGTATTCATTAATACCTACAGGTATTTATTATGATATAAAAGTACTCAAGATTTATTACAATACTTTATAAGACTTATCTTAGTATTATGATAGATAATCTATTACCTATTATACTATACTATTATATATTATTGTATATCATATATAGATATCTATTATCTATCATACCGTGAGATATCTATACCGTCATTAACTTATTATATACCCTACATACCTTTTACTTCTTATAAATACTACTGTTTAATTTATATATTCTATTAATAATATGATAGATAACCTATTACCTATCATATTATACTATATTATTGTATATCATATATAGATATCTATTATCTATCATACCGTGAGATATCTATACCGTCATTAACTTATTATATACCTACATACCTTTTACTTCTTATAAATACTACTGTCTAATTTATATATTCACCTATATTATATAGGCTTACCTTACGCCCTATGTATTATCTCTACCTATCATATATATTATCTATTGCCTATACCGGGAATTGAACCCGGGACCTCCGCGTGGAAGTCGCGCACTTTAACCACTACCCTATCGGGTACCCCCACTAATAATATATTTTGGGACGCACTGTTGTTTCCGCGGGTTATTTTCTAATTAATTAGATAATTAATACTAAGGTGGCGCGACGACACGCTAAAAAAGACGGTTGATTGTAGCGTTACGGTGGTGTAGTGGATAAGGTCGTCGCGTTTCACGCGGCGGACCCGGGTTCTATTCTCGGTAGGGTTAATGTAGCGTGTAAGGGAAATTATAGGTAATAGGATATATAGTAGATATAGGTTAGGTGTATTCGGTATACAATGTAGGGATTTGAGAGTATATAATGAAATATAGCGTATGGTACAGATGTAAGGCGTGTAGTATAGAATGCAACGTATAGGCACACGTAAGGCTATAAAAATACATGAATAGGAACCTATGATGTAGATGTTAGCGTATAAGAAATGCGAATGAATGTAAGATTTAATTTATAAATATTATTTTTTCTATAAGAAGTTCATACACCTCAATTTGTTACTAAATTAAAAACGACTTTGATAAAACCAGTGGTTTTGTGCTAATATTTTTTTGCCAGAACGCTAAAATTTAAAAACCGGTTTTAAAACCGATTTTCATGTTTTTCCAGTTCCGTTCGAAAAGGAAAGAAACAAAAAATTATTACAAAACTCATTTTGTGCACATATATCTATGTTTATTACAATAATAACATTTAATAAAAATTAGTTGAATAATAACGTATAAAATTTACTTATTAAATCATTTTCTGTATGTAGCGATGTTTTTATATTTTTTCTTGCCGGAACGCGTTCCGGCTGAAAAATGATTTGCCGGAACGACGTTCCGGCGCGTTCCGGCTCGACAACACCACTGATAGTTACATATTATATGCAAGAATATGTGTATATGTACATTTTATGGGTATATTTTTAAAGATTAGCCTTATTTTTAATTATACTAGTTTCTGAGGGTAATATTGAATCTTAATAAATAAATTTTATCAACTACTTACTCAAAATGCTTAAAATTTACTCTAATTTTGACTACGATAAAGTGTTATTCAAAAAAATACTTACGTAATTAAAGTCATTTTTATAATATATTTCTAAACTATACTTAAGAAAATACAAGCGATAATTAAATTATCACATATAAGACCACTAATATATTTCACGTTTTATGTACCTGTTTAACTTTCCGTAGAGCATATTATAGTAATCGCAAAAAATCGAAAATGAAAATTTTTATATATCTTCACGTTTCAAGGGTTTCTGAACATTTTGGCATACCTTAGAAAAAATGGATGTGTGTGTGTGTGCGGATACAAACTTTCGTCGACGATTTCGGGAACAACGATCAACCGATTTGAACAATTCAAAAAACATTCGATACGTATTGATAAGGAAACGTGCTGATTAGTTTTTGGCGGAGGCAGGTTTAGCCGTTCCGAAGATACGGGCCAAAAAGTGCCAAAAATGGTAACTCAGTTTTTAAGAGAACGGAGCGTCCGATTTTAATAACTCAAAAAACATTTTACTTTTATTGACAAGGTGAAGATTTTATCAAATTTTAATGAAGGCAGGTCTAGCGGTTTCGGAGATCTAGTGAAAAAAATAAAAAAAATTCCATTTGGCGGTCAAAAATGATCATTAGACATATGCACATCAAATTATCAGATAATTTATAGAGATTTTAACAATAAGTATAAATTTTGTTTACATTCCTATGGGTTCCGTACCAATGTTTATCGATTTTTTTTGTTAAATTTATAGTTTTTCAAAAATCTAATTTATTCGAAGTAATTTTTTTTTCAAAAATGTTAATCTTTTTAAAAATATAATAATTTTTGGTACGGGAAGTTCCAGCAATTTGCCTTAAGAGACGATGCCATGCGCCCCACTAGTTATTATAACTATTTACAAAATAGTTGTAACACGTTATTATAAATATATTATATATATTTTAATTTCTGGTGTTAAGCATTCATAAATATTTTAAATAACGAATCGCAAATTAGCAAATGTATATAGAAAAATGTAATAAATTGTAAACAACAATAACCTAAAATACAAAATTATTTATATATATAAAATATAATTTTTATAGCTTTTATAGTTCAAGTATGAATTTTCTATAAACCAAGCAAATCTGGAATGTGTAACTTTTCTTGACGTTTGTCTAAAACGGTTCAAACTGTAACAAGTGAATTTTAAATATACTTTCAATTACAATTATATAATTTACATAAATATTTTTACAAAGATACCGTCTACTTTACTGTACACTATATATTCATGAAATATGCATCGTCAGATTTTTTTCAAAGAAGTCTACGCTCACAATTAACAATGTATAAATTGTGAGTCCGTTAAATCAACATAGATGCAGTTACTTCTTTGTATACTTCACAAAATTACTTAAAAAGCACTGTCACATATGTATTCAATATTTATTTTAATCTTGCAATACAAATACTTAGTGTAAGTGTTTACATGTCTGCACTGTTAGGTTTAAGTGTTATTTCAAAAACACTCTAGTATTACTTCACCTTATATTGTTATATTGACGTCATGACAAACTATATCCTGATCGATCCTTAGCTGTAATTGGATAAATTATTCATAAATATTGTTTTTTTTTTAAAATTGTCAAATGTTGTTTCCTATAATTTTAAGATTTTTAGGATTTTTTATCTAACATATTTTGCCAATCAAGACTTACAAAGTCATCTAGCATAAATAATTATTATATCTTGGAAAGTATACTTCTGTGAGTAATCGCAAATATTTGAAATGTTTACTTTATACGATAATTATATATACAATTGAGTTATCTGCTATTAATCCCATTAATAAAATGTGTGAATAATGAAATTTTTTTTTATACAAGCTGATTAACGTTAGTGATTTATAAGCTTCTTAGATTCTAAGATTTATACACTTAATTTAGAATAATATTTCATTCCAAAACCAAGTAGTTATTATTAACTTAAAAAAATACACTTAAACATAATTGCAAACAATGGCTATTCAGTTTAAAAAATCATTTCAGTTGTATAGAGAAAATGGAACACTGATTAAATTTATGGGCAGGCAGTTTCGGAAATCCAATATAAAAAGTAGAGAAAAATGTCGTATGATGGTCTTTTCGTCATATTTTTTATATTAAAACTGATGCATTTTTCTTTACAATTCAATTGTTGCTTTATTATAAAGCTATTAAAATATTGTTACAGTATACGAACTGCATATATAATTGCATTATAAAATATTTTTATATAATATTTTTTATTATTCGTTTAAAAACCAGGGAGGCTGATTCTGGATGTATTCATATACCCTTTGTATTCATAAAGAATATATTATCAAATTCAATATTTTCTTTATTATTACGATTATTGCTTATTAATATTGCTTAATCTGGGATATCTTTTGAATATTTGTCTTTGAATAAATTAAAAGCAAGGAATAATGTATAAAATAGTATTTTTTCTGTACTCCTTACTTAAAAAAAACGACCAGTATTAATGCGAATGAATTATTACTTTTTTAATCAAATAAGTTTCGAGTTTTAAATTTATCTTGTATCATTAATATAGGTAATATATAACAACTTGCAAAAAGTTTTAGCACGGAGATTAAAGTTTTACTGTGAAGCACTAAAAGTGATATTGATATTATATTAAATTGTACGAGCTGAAATTTTTTAATAAAACTTTACTACCCTTTTAACTCAAACTTAACTAATAATTTTACACTTTGTTATTTGTTCTTATATAAAGGACAAAATGAGCAGTTTCAAATTTTTCTCTAATATTCATTGGTGTCTTTCTGAAATAATCTGATTTCATGAACCTAATATATTATTAACATAGACAATTCTTAAGATGTATATAATTTTTAAATTATAAAAATTTTATTAAGTATATTAATTTAACCAATAATATTGCTAAGATAGATCTTAAGAATCTTATTACTTTTAATATTCGGTTTACCATATGCATTTAAAATTTATTTTTGTTTGTTATTATAGTACATAATTTTGTTGTCCGTTTTGACCTTTATAAATTTTTGTTACAGATTTTTCATTTCGCAAAATGAGGATGTCTTGATTCATGCAAACTTTATCAGGGTGAGTAATTATGAATAATATTGTTATTACGGATATGTGGTAGATTCACATCATATCTAACATTTCCTTTGCATATGCAAAACAAATATTATATATAACGATAACAATTTCATCATTTTGATGTAACAGTTTGTCATCAGCTATTTTGTTTTTTATAGTTTTCTACGTAATCTGTATGAGATTGCTTAATCCATATTTTGCAGAAAATATATAGTATATTGGTTATTATATAAATTACTATAATAAAGTAAAAATGATTTCCTGACAAGCTATGTCAAGAAAGCATTTTTACTAATATTTATTCAGATAGAATTTTTGGTATTTCATCCGTACATTTATTGCACCCCAATACAATAATTAATAATTCGCCAAATTAATTCTGTTGGATTTTCTATTTCTTCAATATTTTTATGAAATCTATGATAGAATATTCAAATATTCAGAACATGTTTATAAAGATCAAGTGTTATAATGAAATTATTGAGTTAGTTAATATATTCACGACTATACACAGTTGTTTCCATACAAAATTATAATACATATAAATAATATAAATTATAATATGTAAAAACTAATGCATGGCATCATGCTTTAAGTTCAAAATTTCCAAAATATCTCTAAGTATAAAAAAAAACAAATTTTTCAGATAAGTTCAGATAAAATTCAAAATTCTCAAAAATCAATTTTTTTAAAAAGTTCTAATAACAAATTAGAAGTTTAAATTTTCAAATGTTGGTACGAGAAGTTACTTGTAACTTAACAACTTGTAACTTGTAACATTTGAAAATTTAAACTTCTAATTTGTTATTAGAACTTTTTAAAAAAATTGATTTTTGAGAATTTTGAATTTTATCTGAACTTATCTGAAAAATTTGTTTTTTTTATACTTAGAGATATTTTGGAAATTTTGAACTATTTTTCAAAGCAATCGCGATACGTTAGCTGCGTAAAAAACGAAATATAAAAGCGTGTATGCGCCGCGTCGTAATGTAACGGATAACAGTTGGTAAGGTGCTCATAGAAATGTAAACAAAATTTTTACTTATTTTTAATATCTATTAAACATCTGATAATTTGATGTGCATTGTGCATATGTCTAATGATTATTTTTGTTCGCCAAATGGCATTGTTTTATACTCTTTTATTGGATCTCCGAAATCACTAGACCTGCCTACCCAAAAACCTTCCATTTCGTCAATACAAATAAAATGTTTTTCAAATCATTCAAATCGGACGTTCCGTTTTCTCAAAAATTGAATTACCATTTTTCGCACTTGGTTCCCGTAACTTCTCCTTTGTCAAAAACTAATCAGCAAGTCTCCTTATTAATAAGAATCGAATGTTTTTTGAATCATTCAAATCGGTTGATTCGAGTTTTGGAAATCGTCCACAAAAAATTGTATCCGAACATACACACACACACGTACACCCTTTCTTTCTAAGGTATGCGAAAATGTTCAGAAACCTTTGAAACGTCAACATATATAACAAATTTCATTTTCGATTTTTTGCGATTACTATAACTAACCCTACGGGAAGTTAAACATAATTTTCAAGTCTATAACTCGTCATTTGGCCGAAATAACATTGAAATTATGTAAATGTTTTTCTCATTTTTCTAATTCACTTTTTTACTACAATACTACAATATAAAACGGCGTAGGGAGTTGCGGAGCAACTAGTGAATCGGAGCGATTTTCTAACTTCTAATGATGATTGTTCTCATAAAATTTTTAATATACGTAGCACATTCAGTTCATATTGTAGAGTTTTATTGCTTAAGAACCAGGGTGCACCTGTCATCATTCTAAGTAGTTTTAATTGGGTCCGCTTTACCAATGCCACATTAGATTTGTTAGAGCAGCCCCAAAGCTCTATTCCGTATGACCAGATAGGAACTATTATTTTATAAACCAAGATTTTGTTTTTTAGTTAATTCTTAAGAGCGCGAATGATTTTTAAATAACGTGCATTTTCTAATTGATTTAAGGTGTCACAGTTCTCAAATTTCTTCTCAGAAAGTTTCAAATATGTCAATCAACGCATAAGGATTTGCGAACTGCGTTGCATATTTGTTACAAAATTCAATTCCCCATTAATTTACACGTATCTATAAGCAATGATTGATATATTAGCTTCTCTGATATCAAGTCTATTTTGCATTAGCGTGAAGCAAATAACCGCAATTACTCTTGGCATTTGCCTATTTGATGTACTTGTCTGTTCCATGTGTTAAGAGTGCATTTGATCTGATGGGCGCTATAATTTCTACGCATCGACACGCGACTATCAGCCGGATGCTGATAAGCGGACCAGGCGTCTGTCTTCGCGTTAGTCAGCCGGCATAAATCGTTCCTGACAGACTCCGTATTATAAATTACGTGGAAGGTTGAAATTTAAAAACAAATGTTCACCACCGTAACTTTCTTCTGTCACGACATGTCGGGAATGTTTGCGGAAATATATATTTATGCGAGTTTTGCTTTTATTTATCAGCGTAATAAAATTAAGTCTGGTTTCGGGATCTGAGACACATAAAGAATCACAGTTATACTATATGTAACAACTTCTGGTATTGAAACTGATCTCTAGATATAATATTACATATTGCATATCGGATAATAAAAGTGATATTGCAAGTTTCATGATACACCTGTGATATTTTTCCCTGTCAAATTATAGAAATTTTAAGAATTTTAATTATGATTTTGATCTTCCCGTAGGGTAACTTATATAATAATCGTCCAAAAACCGAAAATGAAAATTTTTGCATATCTTTACGTGTAAGAGGTTTCTGAACATTTTGACATACCTTGGAAAAATGTATGCGTATGTGTATGTATGTGTGGATACAATTTTTCGTCCACGTTTTTGCGGCCACGGATACCCGATTTGATTGATTCCTATTGATAAGAAGATGTGCGGAAAATGGAAACTCTTTTTTTTGCAAGAACCACGCATCCGATTAGAATGATTCAAAAAATAGTCAGTTCGAATTGACGGGAGGTCGAGTTGATTAACTTTTTTGCAATAGCAGCTCCAGCCTTGTTGGAGATACGGAGCAAAGCGCACTAGTCGCTTCCAATTATAAAAACATCCTAATGGGTTAGCCAGCCAAGTATACCAGACTGAAAAGAAAATTACCCTCTGATTTTCATTCAGTGACTTTCCTAGTATTTTTCTTCGAATTTTGTTTCCTCATTGGTTCACTGCTGGGAGTTTCTACTATAATTAAATGTTAACTTTGTTTATTAACTATTAACAGACCTCTTCTCTAATTACTCGTTTATTGTCTCTAATTACACTCTCCACAATATTTGTCTCTATATGTCACTCTTTGTCTCTCATAATATATAATCTACTCACACTATAGACCTTACACTACAAATATAAGGTCTATTATTATTATATATTATTATATATTATTATTCTTTTATTTATCCATATGTCATGCTATTTACGTCAACGAAAATTACAATATTATCCCTTTTTATATCATTTTCATTGTTTTACATTGATTTAAGAAAACTTATGTTTTACCCAAAAAATCCGAATTGCGAATTTCATGTTTTCTGAACGTTTTACTTCATTCTAAATCGATTGACACCAAAATTGGAATAAGTATGTTTGTATGTGTATGTGCATGATTGTGTATGCGTGAATGTGAGCCAAATTTTGATCCGTCGAAGTTTTCTTAAAAATCGATTTCATAATTTGCACCTATTTCAAGAATTTAATAGCTATTTGATGAACCTGGACAAGGACTCACTTTGATTAGTTTTGCAAGACGATTGGCCGAACCGTGTCTTTAGTGTTGGTAGAAAATGTTTTGTCAGCGTTTTCGTGAAAAAAATCTAAACTGATTTTGAAAAAGTCAAAATATATCGTTTGGTAATCGTTCTGATTAGTTGAAGATCGGTCAGGCTGTTTCTTTGTGATAAATTGTTTAATTTGACGATTTTGTCAAAACTGACTGGTTTGAGGATTCAATATTCTAGTATTAAAAAAATACCTACTACTAAAAGTGGTTTGATAAAAATTCATTGAGTTTGGTATAAAGAGACTCGCTTTTAGGATTTTACCGAGTATGCTCTAAACGCCTGTTGGTGGTAAATATCTTTAATTGTTTTATAATTACCGATATTTCAAGACTGTTCGACAGATATAAATTGAAAATAACATTGATTAGTTTTTAGTGAAAGCTAAAACTTTAGTTATGAAATGATTAGTTGAAAAGCTAAATCTCAATTCTGATAGACTAATTTGATTATTTGCACGAATTTGGTGCAAAATGCCTACTAGAACTAATTTATTGTTATTTTCACATGGGAATATAAGTATTATTTCATTCTCATTGATATTTGTGCGTGAATTATTTATCTATTCATCTCCCATGACCGTTTATGCAAATAATTTGTAATAACAAAACTAGATTGAATTTTCTTAATGAATGTAAATAACTCTGAAAATGTATTGATTATTGAATAAAAGACTTTACTTCAAAAATTGTTATTTTATACTGAAATAAATATTTTCAAAAACTTGATATTTGCACCGTTTATAGAGCATTTGATGTTGTGAACATGGAAATCTACTTTTTATGAAAATATAAAAAAGGTGTAGTTAAGTAGATTTTCATACATTTTTATCAATGAATTTACTTTAATTGACTTAACCAAGAAAATCAATTAGATAGTTTTATTGTTTGTGTTTGTTTTGAGTTTTTTTTAAGTTAATCTTCTGACATATTTCCTTTTGATTCTGCTTCTTATTCAATAAAATTTGCACGCTTTCAGACGAAAAATAAAAGTAAGTCTTGAGTCTTCAAAACAAATATTTGCATGCAACATATGCAAATAAATATCTCTTATTATAATTCACTCGCGAAAGTTCTCGACAACTTTGTATTCCGAAAAGCTCCCTGTTGACGTGTTGTGTTACATAACTCTGCGCATTTGGGATTATGCACAAAGTGTAAGCGCAGGTAAGCAAAAGTTTTG